TTTTTTGACAAAGACTTGGGCTTTTCGGGATAAAGTTTGGCCCAGCCTAACCCACTTTCACCCCTATGTACTACTACCCTTAATACATATTTATAATCAGTAACGTGACCAAATTTTCCTTTCTACAACATAATTCTTATATTTTCCTTTTTATATATTCCTTTATCGGTTAATCGATTATTTCACTAATCCAATCAAGCCAAGCCAGACACAAACGTAAGAGTGATGAAGATTTCCTACTAAATTTGCTTATGTTATAATTCGTTCCCCCCAATCATTTATATATTTTATCTTAGGTACGTACGAGTATTTTGCGTTTAGATGGTGTGTGGCGTATAAGGAAAATGTGGAAAATAGCTGTACAAGTACAACTCTGAGTATGGGGTGATTAATGAGTTGTTTTTAATTATTTTCCTCTAGAAAAGTCACTTAAGAATTTAAGAGTTACCTTCTCAAGCTGAAATCCCTTAAAACTCTCATTTATAACATCATTATTGCCATTATACCATGCTTACCACCGTTTTATAGGGACTTTGAGAGACCTTTTAATAAAATTGTTACTGCTACTTTGTATCATTTTATAACTTGCTCTTATCATATTCTTATGAACAAGAATTTTTACTTGGACAACCAATAAATATCATTAGCATTATTGTTATCAACGTCAGTACCATCAATGATAAAGAAAGTATTCATTCTACATCATGCTAAGTGGCCTCTCAACTACCAAGAGACCCCCTCTTATTGATTGTTCTTTTTATGCTAATCTCTCTATGTAATTAAAACTACTTTAATATTGTCTATTTGTCTTCTATTGAGTTTCAATACCAACAACACCCCCCACCCAAAACCTCTTTACAATTCAAGTATTATGATCACGCGTTACATGTTTTCATGTGCGGGTAATATTGTTGCTTACATAAAGTTGGCCTCAAAGAATATAAAAGAAAACTAGTTTATTTGTCGTATCTTTCTTTGTCATTTTATCAAAGCTGTAAAAGCTTAGTTTGGCTAGATGAAGTTCCCTGATTGTTTGTATTTGGCATCTTCATTGGTCACGGGTGCGCGAATAATTAAAGCTGAGTACGTTCAGTAATGTGGTTGCATGCAATTGTACTTTACTGATATAAAACGCTTCAGAATTGAGAAACAGACACAGCTAGTGCCTAACACATGCACCATTAACTTTACATCTGTACCTCACAGTAGACAAAGGCAACTAAAGGGTCCTCACTTTATAATGTTAACGAAGCAAGCAATTCACTCAAAAGTTTCAGACATTATTTAAAGATAGATGAATAATGTTATATTTTATATTATATTTTTAATATGTTTTTTTTACATAAAATTACGTTGGATTTCAAAACTAAACAATATATCGGATCAATGTTATTAAACTTGAATCGATTATTAACTCAATTGGGTACCGGTTTATTCAATGGGTCATTGATTGAACCACATAATCCAAATATATATATATATATATATATATATATATATATATATTCTATACTCAAAATTTCTTTAGAATAACTTTTTTGTTGTCCAGCAAAATCTATAATTATGTCTATATAGAATTATCTTAAATTATGTCTGGCAACAAATATGAGAACTAGTTTGCAAAACAAGGCCTTGACAAAGAAAAAGATATTGTCATTTTCAACCGGCCTCCTTCTCAAATGGTTACTTTACTCCATGACCATTTACTTGCTTTTCATAACTATAGAACTATTGCATATTTGTAATTTATTTTTTCAGGCTTCCATAATTCAAAAAAAAAAAAAGAATTATCCATAGGGTCATTATTAAAAAATAAAATTAATATCACTTTTCAAATTATAAATTATCACTTCCTCCTTATCTCCTATGCTTTCAAATTTTCATCCAACTTATTTAGCATTTTCACTTTTCATTTCAATTTCACCCTTCTTAAGTTTAAATGTTTAATCATGTTCTGTTTTTTTGTGTGTGGTTGATTTGAAAATGGTGCACAACAACTTAAGAATTTTGCATTTGGTTGCTGCCTAAAAAGTGACGTTATTTCACTTTTTTTTCAAAAAAAAAAATGAATGACCAAAGTGGGTTAACAAAAACTAACCGGATCAGTGATTGTCAAAAACGGCCGAGTCAAATTGATTTTCACCTGGTCAATTGAGTGGTTGGTGCGTGTGCTAACTCAAATTGGTCAAGTCATTAGTTCACCGATTTATGGGTCAATCCGACTAGGTCGGGCAGGGATTAATAACATTGTATAGGATATATGCTTATGCGAAAAAATTTCATAATATTTATTAAAAAAATAAAGGCGACATATACCAAATTATAAACCATTTGATCATAAGAATTCTAGAGATATGTCAAGTAATCAATCCTTCCAAAACGTTTAAACTATTAGATAATAAATATTTTTGTGTTTTATATTATATTTCTAATGTATAGTTTATTAGGCATGCCCTACCTCTTGATCTTCATTCCAAATCAGGTTGTGCTGTTCCCATCATATGCTATGCTTTGCTAGCACATGCACCTGCCATGCACTATTCCTTTTTCAACTCCCACCTAGCGTTCATGAAACAGGACAGTTGCGCAAATTTGTAAATTGTAACTATACTCGTGCGCATAAACACTTGATTAGTTGATTACATTTGAGATTCAACTTAAAATGATAAGCTCATTTGAAGATTTCTGTGAAGTGTGCCAACTGATTAATTCCAAGCAATTAGAGGAAAAGACAAAGAAACTTTTTCTTACTGCATAAAAATACGGAGAAAAAAATTCTCATGTTATAGAATACTTTTTTCTCCTACTAGTGAAATATTAAAAGGTGTATAACAATTTTTTTTTAATGGGTAGTGAGAACTATCACATTTTGTGCTTATAGTAGGAGAAATTTTTTTTCCTACAACATGATAAAAAAGAACTCTAAAAATATATAAAGTTGAGCATAATCAATTTATTGTTCTTTGAAGTTTTAATTGATACTCTAAATAAAAATAAAGGACAAAAACATATGAAGAATGAGAAAAGTTGCACCAGCAAGCACGTGAATATACAGTTGTATTAAAAACTTAATAGGGAAATTTTTTATCGTCTTTGTAATCTCACTTCCTCTATTAGATTAGTCGATTCTTAAAATAAGATAATAATAAGCAAGTTGCTTTCGTACATGTAGCTTTCAAAAATTAGGAGTTGAAGTTGACCTTAATTAGTCTATAGATAGGATCTAGTTCAGCAGGGAGAATATGCTCGTTTTGATGTCCCGTTAATCCTTTTTAACCCCACACCTCATTATTCCATATTCATAATATTTTTAATACGCCCCCACTTGAATTTATTTATTGCTTAAATATCACGGCGACCCATGAATAGACAACTACCTAAACTACTCCCATTGAAAACATCTTAATGATTTTATTTTTGCCTTTATGTTGTAATTTTTTTTTCTTACCTTTCGGGAGGGATCTTTTGACTATGATGTAAGACTTATAAATTTTACTTTTAATCTCGGCCGTTGATTTTTGTCCATTTAACGATTATACTTTATCGAGATATACCAATTAATTATTTATTAATTTTAAATAAATAATAACTGTTAGAAAGATAAAAATCAACGGCTGAGATGAGGAGTAAGATGTCTAAGTCTTACACTGCAGTCAAAAGATCTCTCTCTCTCTCTCTCTCTATATATATATATATATATATATATATATATATATATATATATAAAAGCAGGATATTCATATATCGGTGTAAGTTACACTATTAATCTTGATCGTTGATCCTCTTTATATTTAACGGTTCTGATTTATTAGATATTCGAGTCGTTAGATGCAAGTAACTCAATGATTTAGATTTGTTGTAAGACTCTGAATCATTGATTTACTTGCATCTAAAGGCTCAAATATCTAATAAATCAGAACCATTAGATATAAATAGAATCAACGATTAAGATTGAGTGTGTAACTTACACCAGTGTAAAAATATCTCCTATATATATATATATATGAGTCATAATCATTTTACACCGATGTAAGTTACACTATCAATATTGATTGTTGATCATATTTATATATAACAGTTCTGATTTGTTAGATATTTGAGTCGGTAGATACAAGAAAGTCAATGATTCAGATTTTGTGTAATTTGACTTGCTGTCCTTAAGTCTAATTTGACTTTTCCACCAATATAAACTAAATCGAATTATATGCAAAAATATGCAATATAAAATATTATTCCTCTTTCCATTTAAATTTAATGAATTATTAATTTAAAAAGAATATTATTATTCAATTGTTTATTAATATATAGTTAAACTATTTAAACTTTTTATATAACTTGGTATCCTTACGATTTGTGCCTTTTATTGACTATGTGGGTCCCATAGTCCATACTCAATTACTCATACAAAGGATGAGTTGTTCGTTCATCATGCCAACTTAAATATTTTAGTGTACATTGATAAAAAAAAAAGTTAAAATAAGAGAGATTTTGTCATTCTACATTTAGGATAAATCATTTATGGTTGGAATTTTCAACTGTGATATAGTTTCACATTGGTTGGTAATGAGTTAAGTGAAGTCCATATAAGTGGGAAGACGGATGAACCCTAATGAACTATAGGTCATGAAGACTATACAAGTGAAGTTTTGATAATTATAAAGCACCAACAACCTCAACATGGAAGCACAACATGGAAGTCAATGCAACAAGTCTTAAATGGCGTAAGAAGAGCAAAGCAAAGTGCAAAAATGAAAGGGCCACTCAAATGCACAAAGTCAACCTAAAAGTCAAAGAATTCAAGTGATAAATGCATTACAAGGCTCAAACTATGAAGATCAATGAAGACTTATGTTCTTGTTGTTTGTAATATGATTTTAGAGTAATAGAAACTTAGAGATTGAAATAAATAAAAGCACATCGGGGGCGCGTAAATCCACGCGCGCGATTTCTTGCTCTCTGCTAGGGTTCTGGTATTCTGTTTCTTGCGTTTTGTGCTATCGATGGAAGCTGAGGTTGTGATCTCGAAGGACTCGATGGAGGAGGACGATGTCAAGGCTTCTAGAAATAGAGGCCAAGCTGAAGGCGATCGTTTGCTACGGTGTGGGAAGAAGCCGAAGGGTGAGGCTGTGGAGGATCTAGTCATGGATGAGATCATGCAAGACAAAGGAGAGGGAGGTTCTGAAAATTCACCGGTTGCTTCTGGGCTACCGGAAGGAGTAAAAGGGGATCTGAAGTGCAGCGCCCAGCCTCGTGTGGTGACTTACAGGGATAAACTCCTTCGTTTAAATGGTCTGGGAGGACAACTGGATGTCGAAGAAGACTGGATCTCTATGCAGAAACGGGAAGAAGAAGAGGCTGATCTGTTGGAGGGGATTAATCAGGTCCTTCCTGATGATCCACTCTGCCCGCGCTACACTATTCCTGTAGAGGAACACAAGCGTGATTGTGAGCAATGGAGGAAGGCTCTCATCATCAAGATGTTAGGGAAGCGGATTGGGGCTAGATTCCTGATGTCCAGACTTGTGAGGCTGTGGTGTTTGGTAAGTTCCTATGAGCTGATTGGTTTAGATAATGGATATCTGCTTATTCGATTCCAAGAAGACAATGATTATCGTCATGTGCTGGAAGAGGGCCCGTGGATAGTGAATGATCACTATGTCATTGTTCAACGTTGGAGGCCACTCTTTGATCCTTATGATGAGGATTTTAGGAAAGTGGCTGTTTGGATTAGGATTCCGGGTTTGCCCATTGAGGTGTACAAACCTCGTCACCTATGGAGAATTGGGAATTTCTTTGGTAGAACGCTGAAGTTGGATCGAAATTCACTTCGGAAAAATGAATTGGGTGATGCTGTTATCACAGAGAGAGGCAAATTTGCTCGAATTTGTGTAGAAGTTGACTTGAGAAAGAGTTTCCTGTCGAAGTTTACCATAGGGATCAAGATCTATCATGTTGGATATGAGGGATTACACCTCATCTGCTTCAAGTGTGGCTTGTATGGCCACAGGAAGGATCAATGCCCAGAGGACCAAGCTCCAGAGGTTCAGACTACCGTGGAAGAGTCCAGTAAGGGGCAAGCTGTTCCTTCCAATGCCAAGCCTGTGAGTGAGGTGACCAAGGAGAATCAGGGGGAAGCATTTGGTACCTGGATGGTTGTCCAGAGGCAGGCTAGAAGTCGTAAGTTGAAAGCCAAGCCAGTCAAGCAGGATGTTTATGAGGCGGTGGTGCAGGACACTAAGTCTATAGGGGTGAATCTGTCTATAGGAAGACCACCCAAAGTCTCAGGGGTGGTTAATTCTGACATCAGTCCGCCTACTGTTTGTTCTCTTCCAGCTAAAGTGACTGATCTTAGTATCTGTGTGGCTGTTAAGGAGGAAGCTCTTTCTGGTGAGAAAGCTCAAAGGAGCTTAAAATCTCCTGATCATCAGTCAAAGAGGAATGTAACTAGGGATCCTAAGGAGCGAGCCAAGATCCAGCCCAAGGCCATTCTAAAGAAGCCAGGTGTTGAGAATATTCCTCCGAATGCTGGGATTGAGGGCCAACCCAAAGGGACCAGTAAAGTCAGGATTAGAAGTAAAGGGACCTTGAATGTAAGAGATTTTGTTGAGGATGGGAACAACATGGCAGCTAAGAAGGGCTTGAGTGTAGCTGGGCAGAATTCCCTGGGGATTAATTCTTCTAAACAGCATGGTTTGGTGCTTGATATTCCTCCCTCCTTGGTGGGGAGCTCCTCTTCCTTGAGTGCCTAGGTATGGCTTTAGAGTCGTACCTTTTGATTTGTTTTGTGTTTCTTTTAATTTTAATTTTCATGTCTGTTTTATGTTGGAATTGTAGAGGGGTAGGGAAGAGAAGCTTCCCTCCTTTTATTAGAGATCTAAATAACAGGTTTAAAGTCAGTGTTTTGGCTTTGCTGGAGGTTAGAGTTGGTGGATCTAGAGGTGATAGGATCATTAACCAATTGGGGCTTTCGAGCCATTTCAGACAGGATCCTGTGGGTTTCTCAGGGGGTCTGTGGCTGCTCTGGGATGAGAAAAAGGTTAAACTGGATGTGTTACAGACTCATCACCAATTTGTGCATACAAGGGTTCACTATCTTGACTCTCTGGAGACTGACTTCATTACATTCATTTATGGTAGTCCTAGGAGACTTGAGAGGAGAATCCTTTGGGAAGAATTAATTTCCATAAGCCTCTTAGTGGACAGCCCTTGGCTGTTGATGGGCGATTTTAATTCCATTTTATCTTGCTCTGAGAAGATATGAGGTAAGGAGATCTGTTGGAATAGTATGTTTGAGTTGCAACAATGTCTTTTTGGGTGCAATGTTTCTGATTTGGGTTTCAAAGGACCTGATTTCACTTGGAAGAGGGGTAGACTCCAAGAACGTTTGGATAGAGCATGTGCTAATGAAGATTGGAACCTAGCCTGGCCTAACAGATTTGTATCTCATTTGCCTTTCTTTGATTCAGATCATAGAGCTATTCTGGTGGCAAATGGTGATGGGGCTAGGCCTAGGGATTACTCTAGAACCTTCAGATTTCTTGCAGCTTGGCTCACTGTCCCAAGTTCGGTAATCTGGTCAAGGATAGTTGGGAGAATAATGAGGGGTGGATCCCATCTAGGAACAAGTTTGAGACTGTAGCTAAAAACTGGCACCAGAATGTTTTTAGGAAGAACATGATTCAGAAAAACAGAATTTATTCTCGGTTGAAGGGGTTGGAGAGTTACAGAGCTGGTTATTATGATCATAACTTGGAGATTCTTCAAAAATCTCTTTGGAAGGAGCTGCAATCTATTCTTCTTTGTGAGGAATTGACTTGGTTCCAAAGGTCCCGAATTCAATGGTTAAAATATGGTGATAAAAACTCTAAGTTTTTTCACTCTTCCACAGTGGCAAGGAGAAGATTTAATAGAATTGTTGCTCTTCAGAATGACCAGGGGAGGTGGATCACTGATTCTGATGAGCTTGTCCATATGGCTATCTCCTACTATCAGGATCTGTTTAGAATGGATGAGGAGTGTGATGGTTCTTTCCCTATTCAGCATACGTTCCCTATCTTGTCTGATGGAGACGGAGCAGCTTTGTCTATTATTCCTAGTAAGGAAGAAATAAGGAAGACTATTTTTAAGATGGGCAAATTTAAAGCTCCTGGTCCGGATGGTTTGAGTGCTATCTTCTTTCATAGCCAATGGGATTCCATAGGAGACTCAGTGTATAAGCTAATTGCTGAGATTTTTGTTTGTCCTGATAAGGTGAAAGATATTAATGGTACATTGATATGTCATATTCCTAAGAAGGATAGTCCTAGTAGCATGAAGGATTTTCGCCCAATCAGCCTATGCAATGTGATTTATAAAGCTATCACTAAGACTTTAGCTGAAAGAATGAGAAACTTGATGCCTAGAATTGTTTCTCCAAACCAGTGTAGCTTCATAAAAGGGAGGCAAGGTACTGATAATATCATCATAGCTCAAGAAGTCATCCATTCCATACGTAGTAGAAAAGGAAACAAAGGATGGATGATGATCAAAGTGGATTTAGAAAAGGCCTATGATAGGCTTAGTTGGAAGTTTGTGTTGGATACTTTGAAGGATGTTGGGTTCCCTGAGTCTACCTCTCAGTTAATCCTCAGTTGTATATCCACTTCTTCCTTAAGCCTTTTATGGAATGGAGTAGCTACAAGTAAGTTCTTACCTGGCAGATGTATAAGGCAAGGGGATCCTATTTCCCCTTATCTCTTTGTTTTGTGTATTGAGAGACTCTCCCATCTCATTAATATGGCAGTGGATATTGGTGCTTGGAAGCCTATTGTCCTGAGAAAGGGTGCTCCTCCTATTTCACATTTGCTTTTTGCTGATGATCTAATTATCTGTGCTGAAGCTAGCATTGAACAAGCTCATGTGATTAACCAGGTCTTAAAGGTATTCACTAAAGCTTCTGGCCAGAAAGTTAGTAGTGAAAAGACTCGGGTGTTTTTCTCCAAAAATGTCCATGTTAGTAGATCCAGTGAGATTAGTGAGTCCTTGGGAGTTGGGATCACTGCTGATTTGGGCAAGTACCTAGGGGTACCTCTCCATCATAAAAGACTTACTAAGAATTCTTTCAAATTTGTCCTGGATAGGGTTCACAGAAGACTGTCCAGCTGGAACCAGTCCTCCCTTTCCCTTGCTGGGAGATCTGTTCTTGCAAAAGCTGTTTTGGAAGCCTTACCTTCCTATGCTATGCAGTCAGCTGTTGTTCCCAGTGGCATATGTTCTGAGATCGAGAAATTAACTAGGAGTTTTATTTGGGGCTCTACTAAGGAGCATAGGAAGACCCATTTGGTGAGCTGGAAGAAGATTTGTAGACCAAAAAAAGAAGGTGGTCTGGGCTTCAGGGAGCAGAACCAAGTTAACAAGGCTTTCTCTATGAAGTTGGGGTTTGGTTTGCTAGCTAACAGGGATGATCTTTGGGCCAAGGTTTTGTGCAGCAAATATAAAGTGGGGGATGATCTTATGCCCAGATTAAATTGTTGTAGGAATGTCTCTAATACTTGGAGGGGCATACAAAATTCCTGGGAGGTAGTCAAGGAAGGTACTAGAATTTCCCTTGGGGATGGGGAATCTACCAAGTTCTGGCTTGACCATTGGTTGCCATGTGATGGTAATCTGTTAGATAAGGTCTCTGTCAGTTTCCCTGAGGAGTTTCAACATTGGAAGGTAGCTGAATGTGTTACTAATGGAGAGTGGGAGTGGGATAAATTCAGTCCTTATCTTTCGGATGAAGTTCTATAAATTATTGCTGATGTAATTCCCCCTTCCAGCAGTGAGGGTCGAAATAAGGTTAATTGGAAATTTTCCAGCTCTGGAATGTTTTCAGTTAGCTCAGCTTACAGGGCTTTGACTGATCAGACTATCACATCTAATTCTGTGGACTGGGAGTTGGTTTGGAAATGGGAGGGCCCCCAACGTGTCAAATTCTTTCTTTGGTTGTTTGTTGGTAACAGGTTGCTCACTAATGCAGAGAGGCAGCGTAGGCATATGACAGAGGCAGCCGCTTGTCCTAGATGTCAGTTTCCTTTGGAAGATGCTGATCACATTTTCAGGAGATGTCCATGGGCTCAGGAAGTGTGGAAGCTATGGGTGGACAGAGATGGATTGAATGCTTTTCTCAGCTTGAGCCTAACTGATTGGATTCTGGATAACATAAAAAAGAGGCATCACAATGGAGAGTGGAGTGTGAAATTTGGAGTTATCTGCTGGTACATATGGAAGGAGAGGAATAACTTGATATTCAATGATAAAAGATGCTCTCCCCAGGAGTTGTTCTTCCAGGTATCTGTGTTTATTGGTGATGTGTTATTGGCTGCGAAAGTCTTATCTGAAGCTGGACTGGCTCTAGTTAAATTCAAAGAGATATTGGTTAGATGGAAGGCCCCTCCTAGTGGGTGGATCAAAATTAACTCTGATGGGTTTTGTAAGGACGATGGCAATAGACTTGCGTGTGGGGGAGTTATAAGGGATGAATGGGGCCATTGGATTATGGGCTTTGTAAGGAAACTGTGGCCAGGCTCTGTGCTTTTAGCTGAATTGTGGGGAATATATACAGGTTTGGATTGGGCTTGGGAGTCCGGGTTCAAGCAGGTTATTGTGGAGTGTGATTCGAAGATGGCTCTCCATTTGGTGGAAGAGGGATGTAATAGCTCACATCCCTATTTTGAGATTGTGAATAGAATCAAAATCCTTATGTCTAAATGCTGGAAACTAGAGCTGAGCCATGTCTATAGAGAAGGCAATTAGTTGGCGGATTGGCTGGGTACTTATGGTGTGCTTCCAAGTTGGGAAGTCCTTTGGCTGGTTAGTCCCCCTCTAGGGTGCAAGAGTTTATTGGAGAATGATTGTATAGGCACTGAGGTGCCTAGATGGATTAGTGATTAGTTTGTCTTTTTCTGTTTTTCCTTGTAATCCAAAAAAAAAAAAAACTTAGAGATTGAGTTTATTAAGCTTTAACTTAAGAATTGCACTTAGAAGTTATAAACTCATATAGGTGACATTCATACCTTGATTATGCATACAAGATCACACACACATGGAGAGTTGTTATATAAGTGTGAGACATGATCATACATATGTTAGAAGTCACTAGAAATCATTTAGAAGTCACTAAAAAACACTTAGATGCATTTAAATTCAAAAAATCAGCAAGCAAATTGTTATCTGTGCTGAAGTAATTGAATATTTTCTAGAAGTAATCGATTAACAAGGTTCGTTGAAGTAATTAATTACCTGATAATAGTAATCAATTACCTCATTGCTTTGAAGAAGTAATAGATTACCCCACGAAAAGTAATCGATTACTCCTTGACTTAAGTGACTTGAACTTTAAGTAATTCAAATAATTAGATGTCCAACGGCTATAAATGGATAGTAACTCAATTGGGCACCTATATAAACACTTCTTAGGGGTTTAAAAACAAAGGATTAACACTAAAAAACACTATATCACCGAAAATCAAAAGATTGAACCCTTTTAGGCTCTGTTTGCATATCATTGAGAAAAAGCTCAATATCTCTTTCTTTCTTAATCTTTTCCTGATTCGTTTTGTAATTCTAAATGTGGGGAGGCTATCCTACATCTGTTTTAATGAATTGGACTACATTAATTTTTTTTGGTGTAGTGGAGTGATCCTATAGGGGTATAGGTTGAGATTGATAAAAATTGGACCAAGATTCTTGTAAAATTTCTTTGTACTATGGTATTTCAAGAACCTGTTGAAAGCTTGACGATAGTGGAACAATCGATACCAGCTTGGATGTAGCTCTCAAGTGGTTAGAGGGAGAACTAGGATAATTTTGGTGTTTTCTTTTCTTTTCCCTTCTCTTTTTGATTCCCTTGCTATAACTCAATTTTGTATGTTATACATGTTATTTTGATTCTGTTTAAGGATTGGGAATCAATAGTTTTCTCTTTGATTTCATTTTGTGTTGTTTTCTTGAAAATAGGTACTGATTTACATTATTTTTTTGCAAAAAAAGTAACACATAATTTACCCCCTCTTGTGTGATTGTTTTAGCCATCTTCTTTTTACAAACCCAACGCCCTAAGGTTTTAGATTGAGACATATTATCAAATCCACTTACTATAGTTGGTGTAGACTTAGCCTATTTGTGGTGGTCCCCCGGCCACGGGCTCCCTTGACTCGCTTGGCTCTGGTACCATAGCCAATGGTTGATTTGCCTAGGTTTACCAAGATTTGAAGATGGTGGTATATATTAGCGGGTTTGTAGGCTGTGCAAACCCATGTTGTGAACCAAGAGACTAACCCACTCTTAGTTGGTAACCCCATCAATACTAAAAGAAGCTTCTGTTTAAGGGGAAGTTGACAATTGTAAAACTCAACTTGAGGGGGAGATTGTGTAACGCGTGGCCGCTTCAAGAATCAATGACTATCCCCACATAATAACACGAGACTTTTCAGTGTGATTTTTCCTCACTCGCACACTTGCCGGGAAAACTTCCCAGGAGGTCACCCATCCCTGAATTGCTCCAAGTCAAGCACGCTTACTGTGGAGTTCTTCTGATCCGGGCTACCGAAAAGCAAATGCATCTTGTTAGCATAGGTAGTACCAATTAATTCTTATAAGCTATCCCAAACTGTGCAGCCTTATACTTGCACAGCATTTGGAATTCCTCTCTTTCGGGTGTTGATTCGATTCATTCATGTATGTAACCCCCCACTGGAAGCCTGTCAGGAGCCGCTCCTTGTTCGTGCCTCTTTGCACCGGAGATCACTCCCTGCCCTCGTCAGTGCTCGAGATGTTACATGCCTACCAGCTTCCGCCTGGTTCGTCCTCGAACCACACCGTACTGGAAGAGAGGCTCTGCTCTGATACCACTTGTAACGCCTGGCCGCTTCAAGAATCAATGACTATCCCCACATACTAACACAAGACTTTTCAGTGTGCTTTTTCCTAACTCGCACACTTCCCGGGAAAACTTCCCAGGAGGTCACCCATCCCAGAATTGCTCCAAGTCAAGCACGCTTAACTGTGGAGTTCTTCTGATCTGGGCTACCGAAAAGCAGATGCATCTTGTTAGCATAGGTAGTACCAATTAATGCTTATAAGCTATCTCAAACTGTGCAGCCTTATACTTGCACAACATTTGGAATCCCTCTCTTTCGGGTGTTGATTCGATTCATCTGGAAGCCTGTCAGGAGCCGCTCCTTGTCCGTGCCTCTTTGCACCGGCGATCACTCCCCGCCCTCGTCAGTGCTCGGGATGTTACAGATTGTTTGGAACTAAAGTGTGATAAAAAGTCCCACATTGGAAAAGAATGGGCTAACCAAAGCTCATATAAGTGAAATGACTCATAAATCCAATGCCTTAAAGTTTTGGGTTTGGTTAAAAAGAAATAAAAAAATAAAAAAGTTCAATCTAGATAGCTTATAGCTTCTTCTAATGTTGAAGGATCCAATCTCCAGCAACAGCACCAAAAACTTGTTCCAACTTCGGCAAGTGCATCGGTCGTAAAAGTAATAAAAGTGTAGGGAGTACGAGATCGTTCCCATGAAGATTGATTTTCAAGCACTAGTTTACTAACAATGATTTAGTTGGACAATCGAATTTGAGATGAAAAGAAAGAAAATCAAGAACAAGCAAGAACATGCAATTCCAGAATTTAAAGCAAGCAAAGAAAAATATTTTGGTTTTGAAAATCAAGGAAGAGCGTAGTTAAGGTTTCAATTTCTCCCAATATCCTTCATATGTTATGGATTAAACAATCAAATAACCGCCCTTAATATAATGTCAATTGATTCCTCTAAAGTAATTAAGGTTCAATCCTTAGTTACCTTAATTCTATGTAATCTTGAAAAATCTTAGTTCCTCGGTTGTTGCCCAAGAAATCATGCATTAACAACAAGAATCTAAAAATTGCATAATTACCCTATGTCTATCCTTGGATCACAAGGATTATGACAAATTTATCAAATTAGGGTTCATGTACCAACATCTTTATTGTCATACAATTCCCCTAAATTAATCTACAAGGATCAAACTCATAGAAACCATTACGCATAGATAAATTCATTCAATTATAAAAAGAAAAATTACAGAGACAATTTAATCCATAAACATAATAATTCAATTGGGTTCCATCTACCCTTAACTATATAAAAATCTAGCCTAACATAGCGAAATCAAAGACAAGAGAAAGTAAAGAAAATCTCTCAAACTCCTTTGGTGTGATGGCATGAAGAATCCTCAAAACCCCCAACCTTTTCTTGAATTTTACTTCGGCAAGTGCACTGAGTACGAGATCGTTCCCATGAGAATTGGTTTTTGTAAGAACCCGTATCGTTAATTAAGGAAGTTAATTAATTAATTATGAGAAATTAGGAAATAATTTCATAATTGACCCTAATAATTATTATGAGGCTTAGATAATTATAGTAAGTGAGTAATAATGCTGAATGTCGTTTTTCGGACGAAAAGTGCAGATACCGGTTCTGCTACTCGGTATAAATGCGTACCGATAAAATATCCTGAAAAATTATAATAAGTGTGAGAATATTACTAGAATAATATATAGGACTTGTAAAACAAGTTTCAGGTCAAAATAATGAGAACTAGTGCCAGAACTGATACTGGCTATGGAAAAACAGGTACCGGAAAGGTGCTGCGAAAAATAAAATAAAAATATGACAAATATTAGAAAAATAAGTAGGTTCAGAATCCTAAGTTTGGGATTAAAATGCTAAGCGTAGAATTTAGCGCTAATACAGTGCGATTAA